ATGTGAACAGATTAATCATGATTACTGACCACAAGGTTACTAACTTGATCCGTTACCAATGCATTACAGAACTACTATTTTTTAAATGTCTAATTTTCAAAAAGAAAAAAAAACCCAATAAAAAATGGCAAGGATACCAATATTTAAGTTTCTTCACAGATTTGACTAACCATATGTCACAACTACACAATCCCTCAAATCAAATCCGCGAGGAACCATACAAATCAAGCAAAACACAATCTAAGCGCCACCAAAATCAATCGGCTCATCCCAGCCAATTGGACCAGCTGTTACCACTAACTCAACTCTGCCAACTGCTCTTCAGCACACAGCAACTTGTAGGGAACACAATCCCTTTTACCGTTGGGGAATGATTCTCTAATAAAAGAGAAGGACCAGCTCCCCCAGCTTTTGCCATTGCAAAATTCCAAAACTTCCCCTGCCAACGATTTTTTTTTTCTTTTTCTTACAAGCCCCTGCCAAAGATTTGACATGAACAAGATCAGCACAAATATTTACAGAAGGATAACGATTGGTAATTTGTCTTTATTGCCATTAATTGCTCTAATGTTAAATCTGAGTTCATAATTAGCTTCAACATATCATATCTCACACTCAGTTTTAGTCCCATCAACATATAGTTTTTGCTCTCCAGAACCAAGTTCTTCACTTAACTTAGGTATTCGTATTACTGATAATCTTGGTACGATTCTCTCACACACAAATTACTATACGATACCCAGAGAACGAATGCCAGATGACATTCTTATGGAAGTGACATCAGATTCCCCTGCTTTTTTTTTCTTCTTCTCCAACCAAATACCAGGTAACAAGACAACTTAAGATGGTACAGCAGAACAGTCTTATGTATCCATGTCGACAGTTGTAGAAGGGTAGCCTAGCTGTAGTGGGGTTCCAGCCAATTTTGGTCTTTTACACTTTTTAACAAGAACAACAACAATTGGCATGAAACCCCACCACCTGCCGCCATCACAGCCGGCTAAACCTTTTTATTCAGATAACCCTTTTGAGCTAGCTGTAAGTAACGTCTAAACATATTAGGCAGCAGGCTGAGAAAATTGACAGGTGAGATGATCGGAGATCGTGAGTCGGCTGGTAAACCATGAAAACGCTAATTAAGAAGTGAAAATGGAGAGGGGTTACAGAGTTATTACTAATTATTATGATTTATGAACAACTACTATTTGATGCTCTTCAAATTCCAGATATCGTCAATATCCCAAACCACACCACCACCACCAGTTTCATCCTCCGCATCAGCAGCAACCATGTAGTTGTCCACGTCGAAGCTGGGGAGCCAGATGGAGCTCCACCACATTTGCTCGTAATTAAGCACCCCGCCTTGATGATGATCAGCTTCACCTCCATTGCACATGTAGTACTCCCTCTCCACCGCCGCAGCCGCCGCCGCAGCAGCACAAATACCCAATGTAGCTGTAGCTGTAGCTGTAGCTGTATTAATACTACTACCGGTGGCCACTCCTCCGTCTTTGTTATGATGGTCAGGATCTGGTCCGACCACCTTGCTTCTCATCATCTTCCTCGTCGATTTCCCTGTCGCAGTCGCAGCAGCAGCATGATCAGCAGAAGTAGTAGTCTTCTCCCCATGACTCCTCTGCCTCTTCATGATCGATTTTTTCTTTCTCTCTAACTCTTAACTCTGCTGGCTTTGTTGAAGCTTCTGTTGGTTTGGAAACTAAGGAGGGGTTAGTTGGTATTTATAGGTGTAATTTATAACAAGGTGGGTTGGGGAACTGGGTTTGGTTGGGTTTGGTTAGGAATCTGGATGTGGAGTATGCACGGCTACAGGTAGAGGTCGGGGCCAGTGGGCAACTGGGCTTGGGCCTACTTGTTTGTTTATTTTATTTATTTTTGGGGGTCAGTTTTGTTGTTATCCTAGCCGACTCATTTCATTTGGGTCTACTTCCCCCACCGCATAAACCAATGCATGTTATGTTATCGTCACTGGGATTTTTGGACAAATGTTAGACCGCTCCGGGGGTCCCTCTCTGCTATTCCCTCCTGCCGATATCGAGGTCGAACAATTTACACAAACGATCACTTATGTTTTGAGTTACCAAGGAATCGGTACGCGAAAGCTTTATTTATGTTTCGCTAGCCAACGGGCGTGCGGATTGGTTGTTTCGGACGATGTTTATCGTGACCCCATCTGAATCCAAATCGTAGTGGTTGGTCGTAATTTGGTTAGATGTATCAAGGTGTTTGTGGTCAATCGTATGGTAGTTAGATTCGAACTTTGATGAACGATAATCGTTTAGGAAAGAAACGGAATGAGAAGATCAGAGATGGTGATCGATTAGAAAAAAAAAATGATACTTGTTTAGTAATTGAGCGTCAATGTTAACCGGGACTATGCCATTCGAAACCTTGACCACGTCCATTGAACTTGATTCCACGTCGGCCAAGTGGTGATGTGATCATATCCGCCGGTCTTGGAGAGGAGAGCCAATGTGACTACGGAATCCCCAATATTTATTTTTTTTCCTCATCGATCTTCAACCTTCTTTTCTTCTTATTATTAAAGCTATGTATTGTTTAATTTTATAATTTAAGCATGGAGGAGGACTGAGATATTTTGGTCACCGTACATACCCATGTGGAGATAAGTTAGAAAATCATGATGGAGCTGTCTTTTTATCTCTTTCTTGTTCTTCTCTTCCATTGATCAATTGGGGTTTCCGAAAAATAGTTTCTTTTTTCAGTGTTTGCTGCCACTTTCCTTTCTTCCTTTTCTCGAATTTGGCTCTGCCCACTTGGTTCATTCAATTTGCAGTACTCTGTCGAGATTATTAGAGGTCGGCGAGGGAGAATATATGTGGTTTTGATTGAATGATAAAATATCTGATGAGGACAACTACTGTACTGACATTTTTTGGGTAGAGTTTTTGCTGTTCTTTTTTAATAAAAAGAACTAACACTGCTGTAATTGGGTATTGAACTTTGTAGTAAAAGAAATAATCCAACTGTAATGACATTTTTGGGGGGAGTTTTCTAATTGCTCATAATATACTCTTAAGAAAAAGCCGTGTACTGATTTTTACATAAAATGTTCTTATATGGTGGATTTTAGTGACGTGAACGATAGGAAGGAGACATTGAGCGTCGATTTACCTATCGTAGTGTGTGAGAGATTTGTATGAATGGATTTGATACATCTCTTCATTCTGACGGATTTTGATTAAGTTATCCATCTGCTAAAGATTTAAAAAAATGAGAATTTTTGAGCTACGTGATTTCGTAAACCCCACAATTGTGGAATTTAGAAATAGCTACCCACAAGCTATTTTGAAATCTAACTCTCTCAAATGATTTTCCATTTATCTCTCATATTCCCGGATAAAGATCGTTACTTTGTTCATGTTCATGTTTATGCTAGAATACTCCAAATGACAGGGTCTAGAATCATTCCCAACAACTCACCCTCTTTGTTCGGAATTTTAACTTGAAAAATATTTGTATTTTGTTACAAATTTAAAAATTAATAGTCAAATTATCTTCTCTCAAATCCTAGTTACGATACGATTTTACAATTATTATAATAATCAAACCAACTCAGGTTAATTTTGTTTGGTAAAAGTATTAGAGAGAGTGAGAATTGGGTGACGGAAGCATATTAGTAGGGCGGCAGGTTTGCAGCTGGTTGCAACTTCGAAGGGACAGCCGCCGTGCCGTATGTTTCTGTTGGATCGATGATGAGGACGTACGGTTGCGTGGTGGCTCCTAAATTCAACGGAGTGGCAGTCGCAGAGGCAGAGGCAGGCGGCAGGCCACTGCCCTGACTCACATTCCCAGCGACAAGTTGCGTGGCGTATTTTCCGAGTTGACGCCCACATTTCTCACACCACTCACCTTCACCTACTCAATCAATCTTGGCCTTGGGGACGACCAGCTAGTTGCCATAACGGTGTTTATAAATAACAATCATTCATTATATCCTCGCATCGATCTACAAGCAACACAGGCGGTAGAAACCATTGATGTAAAATTGTTTTCACTTGGAAGTTGCAAGTGGTTTCTAAAGGGCAGACATTTCTGGCTTTAGAAGGGTTGAGAGTCGTCGTTGGAAGATAAATTTATAAATGTGATTTTAAAGAACGTCCGAATCTACACATAATATAATATGTCGAAGGAAAAAACGGGAGCCCCATTTCAAATTTCCTGCAACGAGAGTGAAAGTAGGAAGAACATTTTGGTCTTCACAATTACTTTTTTTTATTCATTAAAAAAACACGTACTGATATTCGAACCATGACCATTTTAAAGAAAAGCAAGGATCATAACCAATCGCACTAAGTACATTTGTTGTATCTTTTTAAATTAAAAACATATAATAGCAGGGAGGAAAAACTCTTCCCCCATTTCAAATTCCCTACTCCAGTAGCGTTTGTAGGAAGGGTAGAATAGGAAGTGTCAATTTTTTTCTCTTTCCTCTGTGGAATGGGCCAACTTACCGTACACATGCGGATTTAAACGGGTACAGGAGTGTCAATTTTTTTCTTTAAGCCCTTTTATTTCTCCGTGGTGATAAAATACATATATGAAAAGGCAAAAACAATACTTCTTTTTATTGCTAAAAATAAAAAATTTAACAATAAACTAATGCATGGTATCTAATAGGCTAACCGCTAACCATAAAATAAAATAGTTGAATGGGCCCGACCTACAAGGGATTTGACCATCAAGTAAAACAAATGAACATCATTGGTTTGACATTCTAAAACAAGCTATTTTCTCTGGCATAATATATATTATGCTATTATTTTATATCTTAGTGGCTAAAATATTATATTTTAAAGTTATTCAATAGTTCAACCTCGACCAACCCAATTAGTCCAAATTTTATCATTTCAAATATATATTATATAATTATTTGATATCATAATGATCAAATTATAGTGTATTTTATAGGGGATCGTTTGGTATTTGTTAGTAAAAAACTAAACAGAAAGATCTATTTGGTTATTTTAAACATTAAAACGATCCTAAATATTTTCAGTTCCTTTTGAATTTCTATGGTTTTATTCCCGAATAAGTGATGTGCAAATGGCGAAGTGCAGTCATCTCTTTTCTTTCACTATTTTTTATTTTAAATAGAAAGTTTAAAAGTAAAGAATAATTAGAATTTGGCATGGGTCGGTCAAACAGGCTGATTTCAAGTTTTGGCCCGTTTTGATCATCTAATTTATAATCACATGGTTCCATGATACCCAATAAAAATCTCAATCCAAACCAGTTTAGCAGGGTGAGTCTGTGTTTACCACCATTTTCTAGGGATGCGACAACGACGGTTCCTATCCCAAATCGTGTTGTTCGCTCTTGATTTCCTTAGATTTTTATCATGGCCTGACAAAAACCAGAAAGCACAATGACGACAAGATGAAAGTTTTATTAAGCAAATTAATCGGCCAACGGGCCGAGTAAAAGCTAGCAACGATTGTGAGATGCTCATTTCCCGAAAACCGTAGGGATAGGCGATTTTTTATTCAATTTTTTGGAATTCGGTTTCTATAAAACTTACTTCACCTCATCATATTACCATAAACAATATTGTTTCACAAGGTAACATGTACTTGATTTTGGTTCATAAGGCCGATTTTTGATTCGTTGCATCATTCATGTCTCTTTCCTGCTAAAATTCACTATTTTTATCACGTGTTTTCAAACAAATAAAAAAAAACTATACAACAATAAGATATACACCCCATTACATTATCAAATTTCATACCTCACCTTCATCCGGACAATTGGCCGGGGCCACGCTAGTGATAATGTAAGAATGATAACAACTATTACAACATGAACATTGGGCCAACACCAACTCTTTGTGCATTTTTTTTACAACAACCACATATCTTTCATAAGAAAAAAATATTTAATATATCATTCATAACTGATCACCTACTCAAATTCGAAACTTATTATGAATTTATCTCGGAGATGAAATTTTCCCCCAACACTTATAGTTGCCACTGATAAAATCAATACTATTTTTATAAGCAATAGACTGATGGATATTATACATTCACTTTTTGTTATTCATCTTCAACCGTGTTAATTCATTAGTTCTTTGATAAAAGAAATATCTCATCATTCGTTATGTAACATGATAATATATTCGAATTAAAGTTTGGGTAAATTGAAGTTAATCGGAGTTTTATTTTAATGTATATATAAATTCCTTCAGTTATTTTAAATCTTAACAAAAATTGTTTTGTGGGGTAATAATATATGTTTTGAAAATATGAAGGCGATAAGTTCAAACTACAAAAACCATCATTGTCATATATTTGGAAATCTGAAATTACGTTTTTGGGAGGATGGATCTTGGCGGAATTGCCACATATGAAATTGAGCACAATTTTGCAAAGAAATAGCCTCAGTAACCTTATGCTGAGTAACCATAAGTGACCCGCCATATCAGCATGACATCAGCATCCCTCTCTTTCCTGGAAAGCCTTTAATTTTCTCTTCCTTAATCTTTGACGGACGATTTATCACTCGTTTTAAGTCGAAATTTAATTTTTTTTTCACAGCTAGATCAGATTAATTGTGTTCTTCAATATAACATCAACATCCCTCTCTCTTCTGGAAAACCTTTAATTTTCCCCTCCTTAATCTTTGATGGACGATTTCTCACTCGTTTTAAGTCGAAATTTAATTTTTTTTGCACAGTTATATCAGATTAATTGTGCTTTTCAAAATGATATCCACTTTGATATATTTTTCGAACAAAAAAAATTGAGCCGTTTTTTACCAGTCTATACCATATGGTATTGACTGGTATTGAAATAAGAGCATACCTATGGTTTGAAAAGCGTACCATGGTTGTATGAACAAACCAAGACTGTAGGATGGTTGAATACATGTTAGTAGAAGTATATTAATTGTCATTTACGACTTTTAACATTGTGTACCACAAGATACCACCCCGTACCTGGGTGGTATTGTGTGGTATTTTTTTGGTCCTGTAATTTGTTCACCCTGAAATATGTAAATCCAATAGATCATGATGAACTCGTCCCTTCTGTGCAAATGTTTTAAAAAACGAATTAAAAACGAAGAAAATACCATACGGTATGCTGGTACCGAGAGGCCAGATTTTTTTCCCCAAAAAATATTTAAAATTGATCTCATTTTGTAGAGCACGATGAACTTGTTCCATATGTTAAAAAAAATCCGATTTAAAACGAAAAAGATATGAACCGATTAAAAAAATAGGGAAAATAAAAATGGTCTTTAATTCTCCATCCTTATGTATGGATTTTCTAAATGAAGGGTCCAGATTTGGTTATTGATGGGTGCAGAGCCTTTTTGGGAGAATAATGATAATAAAGGGCATGTTTGGAAGTTGAGATTCTCCAAATAGATGCATTTAATCAATTCATGTATTATTATTTGATGTATTCAATGCATGTATTAGGAAAACATCTTGTTTGGAAAGATAATGATTGAGCAAAAAGTAGGGTAGACAATCCCTTGTTAACAATCTCTACTTTTTGTAGAGATTGACAATCATTCATTTTGAGTGATTGTGGGTGGGTCAGAAAAAAGTTAATACATGCATTCTAACTCAAATTAAACAAAAAAAAAACTACTTAATTTTTATCATTACATGTATTGGCTAAATACCACACTTGAAATCTCAACTTCCAAACGACCCCAAAGAGACCGACTTGTGTTCCAAACGACCCCAAAGAGACCGACTTGTGTTCCTCGTGCATATCATATTCTGTAGGCCTTTCCTCTCCCCCATAATACACACAAGTCACGAACTCCTTACATGGGCTATCCAAGAGAGGAACACCACGCGAGACCAACTTTTGGGCTTCATGTCGGCCCAAGATGCACACCATGTTACATTTCTATGGAGTCCTCTCCCAGTTTTCCTACTCTTGTCAATTTAGGGATGACAATGCTACGGAACAAGTGGATGTCCAATACGATTCAATTTTAATATTTTCAGTTCGTAACCATTAGTACTCATTGAATCTACTCCAGCGAGTTGACTACGAATTTTGGGATACCCAACCCAACTTCTCCAGCATCAGTTATGAAGTAGTGATGTTCCTCTCTGCAAACTATTCCGCAACTCGGTCAGGTCAGAAATCTTAATTTTCTTATTCGGTTTCTAACAAAAACTACGAAGTTGAAAGCTTCAGTTCACTTGCATTTGTGCTAGACAGTGGGGAAGGGGGACTTTACACCGTAGTTAGCAAGCACACTTTGCATTTTGTACTCACGTATCTTCCATTTTCCAACTAGGGGGCACTGGCTGGCTGTCATCACAGGAGTAATTTTTACATCAACAAAAAGAAGAGAGAAGGAAGAAAGAAAGAAAAAAAAAAAAACAGTTCATTCAGCCACTTAACTTTTGATCTATTACTATCTTACTACAAAGAAACAAACAACCCTGATTGAATACAAATCCATATGAACTGCTAATAAAATTAAATTGTCAATTCTTATGTTGTACAATTCCATTTCCAGTTCTAACTTTTGTGTTCGGAACGGAAAATCAATCGGAACTATTTGGACTATATTTCGAGAATTAGAGATCCTTTTAGTTTTTTGACTATCCAAACAGACTATAACAAATCAAAACAATCGAATAAAAATCTAGGTTGCCTTAAAACTATGCAGGACAGCTTCCCTTTCAAGACAACCACAGTAATATTCCTGGCTCTTGCAAGCAGACTTGCATGTCTCGTCCGAGTCCAAAATTGGTACTACAATGACCCAATTCGCTCACTAGTTTTAAACACAATTTGTGATTACTCAACACTAAACTTGTCATCGCATGCATTCAACTGCTATAGAGCGTGTAATTACACAATCCAACTGTCCAAGTAATCAAAGTGGAGACTATGATCATAAACTGGTTCATGGAGACCAGCCTTTCATGCTGTTCAACTGGCCATGTCTTTACTCTTAATCTATTCTGAACCCTCAAAAAATTGCAGAGACCGAAAACGTTGAATCAAACCCTCAGATCTGGTCAGCGTATCCGAGCGCACATTTTTTTCCACAGAAGAACTACTCACCGCGCCCGGATCTGAATCTGATTGCACAATTTGCTTTCCCACAAACAACCAACCTAATAATAATAATACTCAATAAACAATCATGATCATGTGCAATCAATCCCAATCCCTTTTATGTTCCCCATGCTCGCTGTTGGCCAAAGCCAAAGGCCCCGCCTTTTCCTTTTCACACAAGACAGAGAGAGGCATATCGCCAGAAGGGCGGTCAGAGCTTTGCGCCCCACGACACCAGACAAGTGCCACTGTCAGCCTCCCTGCAAATTTCCAGAATTAAGTTATTTGCCCATCAACCCCGATCCAATGGGCAGGGTAGGGTTACCTTCCCAATGGCAGGCCACAGGACCCCACTCCCCTTCTGCAACACATGGCGTGACTCACAAGCGAAGAATCATCACCATCACCACCACTATCATTCAATTCAATCATCACCATCCATCTACCCATCACCATCCACCGCCATTATCACGCCAACAAAGCATCTGCCACAAACTATGCTAGAGAGAGCAAGTGGAGAAACTGATAACCAAACAGAAGCTTGTTCTATTTACATTCATCACCCAGAACAAAAGGGGTTACATTGATTGTGTAGCATAACTCTCCAACTACAAACCTTAGGCTCCCATGTCCTATTTGTACAAATTGAACTTCCTGGCCTTCAAGGACTCACTCATCAACAACCCAAAAGAAAAAGGAAAGATGATCATCATGATGATGGTGCTTCTCTAAACCACACCATCGAAGAACAGCAACTACTCAAAAAGGATTGTGCGAAAAAGGATCCTCCGTGTCCATCTCTTATTCTAGCTAAAAATGAAATGACTCCTCTGCTTGCTTACTTACAATGACAATTGAACTTCCTGGCCTTCAAGGACTCACTCATCAACAACCCAAAAGAAAAAGGAAAGATGATCATCATGATGATGGTGCTTCTCTAAACCACACCATCGAAGAACAGCAACTACTCAAAAAGGATTGTGCGAAAAAGGATCCTCCGTGTCCATCTCTTATTCTAGCTAAAAATGAAATGACTCCTCTGCTTGCTTACTTACAATGACAATTGACAACACTCTCATGGGCATTTACATACAAAAAACCAGACCCTTCCTTCCTTCTCTTATGGATAATATATACAACAATAAAAAAAAAGGATCGTTTGATCTTACCCTCTCGAGAGAAACTCTGAATAAACCAAAAGCCTGCTTGCTCCTCGTTGATGCTACTGAAAGTTGAGTACTTGACTTGTTTGTTTCCTGTTCTATTGATTAACTTTGTTTTAGCCTATATGTACCGAAAGCTTGCTTCGAGTTTGTGGTGGAGAGCGAAGTGGGTTATGAAGGATCTCTCTGTGTCTATGCCAGAGCAGGGATGCTGCAGTTCCTGCTGTCCCTGTCGAGGCAGTCGAACCCTTCCACCCTCACCGCCGGTTTGTTCCCAAAATTTGACCGGACGACGCACCCGCCGCCTTTTCTTGGGGACGGCGAGGATATGCCGCCGGACGGAGGTGGAACACGCGGTGGTGGTGTGAAAGGGCCCGACAACGAGAGCTCCTCCTCTTCCTCCCCTCCAAATCGAGCATCCTGAATTAATGGGTTAGCTACTCTCCTCGGCGGCGACCCGGAAAAAAAGGGGGGCGACGTCGCTACGTGTTGTGGGTATGGTTGCTCCCTGCCAACGTTGCCATCACCCTGCCACACAATTTCCAATCATTAGGGTTATTAGTTCTTACTCAGCTGCCATCTAGATCAAACGGCCTATTAAATGCATACAGAATCCTCTCTTGATTGGGAAACTCACTTACCTTAGAAAGGATGATGTCGAGAAGATCATTCCCTGCTTTTGCATCGCAGATCTCGGCCTGGTGGCTGCAAAACCCCATTCCCAAAAGAGGCCATTTCAGCATCACAGTAGGAAGAAGGTGAAAGGAAGGACAAATTCCTTTAAAATTGAACTCCACAAATAAATAATAAAAAAATAAAAGAAAATTACCTGAGCTGCCATCTGAGAGACCGAAGCGGGTGGTCGTTCGCAGTGTCGGCGAGCAGACCAAGACGCCGTGGCTTAGGACAAACAACCGCCTCCCGACGCTCGGAGATCTGAGCTCCGGCGGCGCTCCTCCTGATCTCTTCCCTCCTGGAGAAAGCGCTCTGCTGGATCACAAAGTGATTCATCTTTCCTTCTTTACTATCTCTTCGAACTCTTAATAACTTTTTTCGAACCGTTGGATTCCTGCAGCAAAAAAAGAAAATAACCAGAGCAATTAGGCCACTGCCCTTCCGAAATTCAAACCCCAGCCAAGAAACAAATTCACGCGTTCAGACTGGGGAACAGAAGAGCGCCGGTATCTCCAAGTCTACACCGATTTCGAAACAGGAAAAAAAAAAACACTACGAATAGAAGCGGACTCCATGGCAGGCGAGCTTGGGAACCACCATAGGGCTCCTCTGCCGTCTCCAGATCGAGATCCCGTGCAGAGAACTGCAGCCGGATGGCCACAGATCCGCGGATACGGAAGAGAACAAACAAAATTTAAAATCGAAGCCTAGATCTGAAGTACAGGAAATCAGAGAGAGAGAGATTTTTACCAGAAGAAGTCAGTGGGCTGTACAGCAGGATTAGGCGAGCGGATCCAGTTGAAAGAGGAAGGAAACAAGTGAAGAAAGAGGGTTAGGAGGAAGAATTGGTGCTGTTTGGATTCATAGAAAAGAAATCGAAACCAGTAGAAAAGAAAAGAAAAGAAAAGAAAAAGAGGGGAAAGGAATGAAGAAGGAGATTGGGAAAATGGGAAATTCGAACAAGAGTGTGGGAGATTTTTGAGCAGGAACAAGAAAGAAGAGAGCACGAATTGGGGATTGATTGGGCGAACAGTAGCAGCAACACAGGCTATTATTATACGGAACAAAAAAAAAGGGCGGAATTAATTAATTATTTATTTTGTTGTACTTTTTTTATTTTCTGACTCGATCTTTTCGTTTATATATAGACGGACGGACGGAAGCAAAGCAAAGAAGACATGGGCTACGAAGACGGAGGTAGCAAGTGGCAACTGCTTTAGACGTTGGAATTTTATAATGGGTTTATTTTATTTATATTGGATTCCTACAAGATTTTTTTCTCTTTCAACGATTTTGCTAGAGATTTTTTTTAGGACCGTTGAGGGCAGTGTGTCCTTACAAGGCCTATCGGTCCTTAGGAGAGTAAGAACTATTAGGGTTTGGAGGTTTACCAAAGGCAGGCAAGTAGGAAACTTACCACCCGGGCAGCTAAACTCACCACTTGCAATTGACGGTCTATCATTTGTTGAGAGTTTCAGACAGAAAAGATGGTAATTCGCATTTCTCGATAGCAAACTTTTACGTTGAGCAAGAAAGGTGACGGACGAGGCTCATGAGGTACATGTAGAGAAAGCAATCCCACCCCAATGACAAAAAATGAAAAAAATCATATTGCTAACGAAGAAGACGAACCCGCTGATAATCGAAGAGAAGGGCAAGATCGTAGGGTTGGACCAAGCATTTCAAAACTTAGGGCTAGTGTGGTGACTTTGTTGCCACTATGAAACTTTGAAGTGAGATCAATGAAGTTTGCGCTTTCACTGGCATTGAGCTTAAAACGATATTTCACTATATATGATCACAATGATTGGAGAGAAACTATTCGTGCTTCAGTTCATAGAGTCAGAAGACCAAAATATTATATTGATTTGATGGTTTACTATCTTCTATTATAGCCTCGTGAGCTATAATTGTCGTTGTTTGGGAAATATCACAAAAATTAACAGAGTACAGGAGAGCCACTTCGAAAAAAGATCCCATCATAGTTTTTTTAATGAAAACTGAACTACATAAACATGAGTGGAAAAAGATAGTGCGAGACATAAGATGACAAAAAGCGAGGGAGGGGGGGGGGGGTGAAATCTCAAAACAGAGCATGGGTTTGCTTGAATATGGAAATAGGAGGTAAAACTAACTATGAGTAAGTTTCTCTTAGTCACATTGATGCACCGATAGAGGAGAGAGAGGAGGAAACAATTGATTACTGACTAGGATATACATATTGTAGTTATGAGGTGAGAATAATGGAAGGACTTGGAGTTGATGACAATGTTACAAGGGAAAATATGTGGAAATTTTGACCAAGTGTTATATTACGAAAAGAAGTATGGCATGACACAATCTAACCATCAACATATGGATAATTTAGGGGAGTACACGATGCTTCTAATTTGGGAGACTTAGGATATCGTGAAAATATATTCACTTCACTTCATGTGAGAGAGGATGAAGGTTGATATAAAGATTAGATAGAATGGTGACTAATTCATAACAAAATGAAATATTACCTCTAATATGACCAAAGTACACATCCTTCCCTCTCTCTTTAAGAGTTTTTAAAGCTTTTCTTTTCTTTACTTGAACAAACTCGGATTAAAAGGATAGATATGGAACACGATAGAACATATTCCACTCGTAAGAATGGCTAATTGGTATGCGAACCAATCAAACGATCTCCAACTTGTGAATGAGACCAATCACTATTTGGTAGAAGCTCGACATAACTAGACGCATTCTCTAGTTGATAAGAGACACGTGAAACTCCTGGTGACTCACGACAGAAGATTGCACAAAGAAACTCGTTCGCATTGAACTCGAAACTTGACTTTGATTGATAAAAAAATTGGTCAATTACAATGGAGAATTCAGCCCCAATTTATAGACTCTCTAACACTAATCCAAAGCATAAAAAGAAAGCAAACAAATGACCAAATCCTACACTTAAAAGGAAATACAAACTCTTAACAAACAAGTGAAGACTAAGTCAAACAACCTTCCTAGAATCTAGCCTTCAAATCCGCCCATTCCCTTGTGTTCACACCTTGATTCCTTTCACACATAGGGCTTCTCGTCTCTTCTTTGGCTGAATTCTCTTCTCCACCTTCCAAGCCTCATTTTGACCCACGAATTGTAGTAATGTAATGGGCTTGCCACGATGTTGTTCCACGTCCATTTGAGCAAAGTAAAGATCCAAATAACCAACAAACTCCTCCCTTAACCTCTTAGCTTGTAGTCGTGTTATTGGACCTTCTTGTGGTGTCGTGGACATGATTTTGATGATCTCATCAACCTCCTCTTAGAGTTTATAATTTAGATAGATGGGTATCATATCACTTGCCTTTTATTGGATATTAAACTGCAGGAGGAACCAGTAAAATGGGGACGATACTTCCGCTTTGACTAGGATTGGCAAAAACATGAAGAATGACCCATCCAATTGCTAAGCAATGGCAAAGAGACCATGTGCCAAGTTTGGCAGTAAAAACTAAGGCTTATGCAGCTAGGCTATTATCTTGGAGCACTGAGACTATTAGAGACACATGATAAGGAAAAGAAAGATTGAACGTGCATTAGCTGCTCTAAGTAAACGAAAGAAAAATAAGACAATCATCATTCGTTTGAAGGGCATAGTAGAAGGAATTTGAATGAATTGCTTCATCGAGAAGAAACTTATGTAGAAGTAGAGGTTAATGATAGATTGATCGAAAGAAGAAGACATGAATACCAAAATCAAAAGGTAACCAAATTTTAAAACTAGGGATTTTTCATATTTGGACAGACAAATGGATAAAGCGACTAACTTATGTTATTTTTCCAATAAAGTGTTTTAGTTATTCGAAATCAAACTTTAAGTTTATTGTGTCTGATGTTATATAGTAGAGTGATCATATTCTTCATTAACTTATTCACAAATCATCCAATGAAGAGAAACCCAATATCCAAGATTTTCCAAACCAAACACCATATTCTGAGATTATATGAACAAACAAACTAGATTTGGACCCGCCCGTTGGACGGGTACATTTTCTAAATGACATGAACAACAATGACATTGTTGCAAATATACATTTTTATTAGGTATTATAAAAGAATTTAAATAGTTTTATTATTGGAAAATTAAAATACGAACATACATTACAGAGTTTTATGATATCCTAATTGATTTCTCAATGTAAGGATGGAAGTAAAAACTAAACTCATATCAAGAAACCAATTTCTAAGTAAAAACGCTTATTAAAGCAAACATAAAATGGGATCTTTACCATCAATATTCTTTTCCTTCTAGACAACACTCAACGGTCTCATTATTTCGAATATTGGATTCACTGCCTCCCCCATTAGCACTTCTTCTTCTTCTTCTTCTTCTTCATTGAGAGCAAAAAATAATAGTAAACTATTCATAAATATGATATATAATTTTCACGCAAATAAAATTGATCTCATCTAAGTCATGAATATTGTCGACGATTTGTTGTTTCTTGTCAATACTGAAACATATATCTCCACCATAAACAATCTCTTTCATCTTCTCAACAACATCATCATTTCGATTGTAGGGCCAACTCCCTCTCCCACATTTAATTGAAATAAAAAATTTAATGGCAAAATATTTTCAAATATGAAACATAATTTCGCGCATGTAAAATTTACCTTGTCCAGGTTTTGAACATTTTCTGAGATTTTCTCTTTAATTCCTTTTTTATATTCAAAATTGGGTAATTACTTATGGGGTTCTTGATGTTGTAGTCGGGAGAGCTTGATGTCGAACTTGAACTCCATTTCTTCAATTTGTAGGAGAAGAGAAGACGCAAGTTCAGTCATTCTGTCTTTATCTTGTAATATTTTTTTTAGTCATCATTTCAAAAAAATTGGCTCCCTTCATCAAATTTTGGTGGACATCTTTTGGATAAAGTATAACACCACCCATTTTTAGTTTTGACAAATTTGCATTGGATGAAATACAAATTTTACTAAATATTTGAGAATAATTAGCATTTGAATATTAACGAATTTTTAGATTGTAATTAATATGTACCTCCACACGGTTCCTCATTTATGATTCATTGAGCTCTTGTGATATTTTGATGGAGATTGGTGGTTGAATTTCACATTTGACTCCCATTAGAGGAAGTGATGCATCTGCATCCTTTTTATTAAAAAAATTATTGCGAAACCAAACTTTGGGTTTCCTTAACTCCAAATTTATAACACAAAAAATATATAGATTCAAATAATATGAATATCAACTTGACCCAAAGTCAATATGTTCCCCGATTTGTAGATTCGTCAACAATAATGTAGCTATACATGAGAATGACTCTCATTTGTAAATTTTGTTGTCCATCAATTGACCAATATTAATTTCATAGTTAATAGATGCACAAATAAGATAATAAAATATGTTTATTTACCATTGTGTTAAGAGATAATTATTAATGTAATGGCCATGATGAGAGGTCGATCACCAATATTTGCGAGAATGATATTTATTGTCATGTCTCATATATTAACCTTCACAAGTAATCACTTGTACCCAAAATGTATATTAGGCTGGGAATCATAGTTTAAATCATCATACTTGAAAAGTTTTAGTTGGATCTCTGTATATAGTTTAGCTTATATAAAGAACACATTTCCTTCTTTCCAACTTTTTCAATGGTTAACCAATTCTCTTTAATTTTAATTTTTATGAATCAATTTATGAAAACTCAGGTGGCAAACAATAAATTTGTAATGTTAAATAATCAAAATAGTTGGAATGATTATAAATCGATAAGAGTTATTTTGAATTATTATCAAAATAGTTTTGTAATTGTTTATATTCACTCTGTAAGAGGTTCATTAACATTATGGAACATAGACATGGTATATACTCATTTATCAATCAAAATACTCATCAATTGATCAATAATTTAATCATTTTCATAGATATTATATATTTATAAATTAAGATATTTAATTAATAATTGTTGACCTTTTTATATCTACAATAAGCCTATGTTAAAACTTTCCAGTATAATTTATAATATAACGTATAACCTTAACAATCAAAGAAGTGCCCCTAGTATAAATAGGTTATGCTAATAATTAAAATAAAAAAATTTTCCTTTCCTAGAAAGAAAATCTAATCCCGGCAGAGTTAATTATTGGGGTGGTGGCCGGTGGCGGACTCTTTTTTTCCCGCTATTTTTTTTCTCTCTATCAACAAAATTATTTTTTATTTTTA